TCCAAGACGGTGGGCTTACAGCAGTAGAAAGCCTCATCTTTCTCTGGTGGAGCAGCTGGTGGTTTTGAACTGCTGACCTTGCAGTGAAACAGCCCAATGAGTAATCCACTACACCACTAGGCTCCCTAGATGCTGTTGGGGAGACTCATAAAAGCAAACCAAAGCAAAACAAACCCCCAACAATGTTCAAAGGCAAAGATGTGTCTATTTTGGTTCTTGCCTAAAAGATTATGATTGAGTGGTGGCAATGACAATACGAATATAGAGTGTCTGCTTTCCTTGCAAACCCCAAAATTAATCTACGTAACCTGGCCACTCAATGGTGTGTTTTTCTGTCATTATTCTACACACCTCCCTTCTGCACTTTCTGAACTGGGATGCTCTTCACAGAGTTGGGGGACATTTCATTTGCAAAGGATATATGAGAAGTGGATTTTCTCTGCAGTAACTTCCAAACATGTTTTCAGGGACCATTTGTGGGAGAACCTGGAGAGAGAGAGAGACAGACAGAGACAGAGAGAGAGACAGAGAGAGAACAAAACACTTTAATGTTCATACAATTAGCCAGAAAGTGTATGGGACCAATTACAATTTTATAACCTGTTGTGTTTCTGGGTGAATGAAAAGTTTCCAGAAATCGGTTACAATGCTGCTTTTGTTTCCCTGGAGGCTCTGCCAATTCATGGTGGCCACATGTGTGCTGGCTGGAACTGCTCTGCAGGGCATTCAAGATTGTGCCCTTTCAGAAATAGATGATCGGCTTGTCTTCCAAGGCACCCTTTGGGCAGGTTTGAACCTCCAAGCTTCCAGCTAGTAATGGAGTGTTTAGCAAATAAAAGCCAGGATGCCTATTAATCCCTACCCCTTCCCCGAAAGTAAGACATCCCCCGAAAATAAGACCTACTTACAGATTTGCCTCTCACCGAAATATAAGGCATCTCCCTGAAAATAAGTCCCCCCGAAACTACCGTAACTCTGGACTCTGGACCATAGCGGCGGTCAACTCACTGTTGGCCACAGCGCAGCCAGAGCAGACAGGAAGTGTGAGGTCTCTTTTAATAGAACAATAACAACAAATGTGTACCGCATTCTTCTTCATGGAAAAATAAGACATCCCCTGAAAATAAGACCTAGTGCATCTTTGGGATCAAAAATTAATGTAAGACACTGTCTTATTTTTGGGGAAACAGGGTACTTTATACTTAGTATAGTATACTAAAAATAGCCGAACAGAAAGAACATTTTTGTTTTAAAGAGGAATGCTTTAACTAGAGTTAATATGATGTCTTTCATTCATGCTGAAACTAATTTTTATTTCATCTTTTGCTGTCTAATGTAAGTAGAAAAGGTCAACATGTATGAAACTGAATATTTAACTTGAGACAGAAATAGAAGTGCAGATTACATGGTTTTCATCTTGATACAAGAGAAGACATAAATTAATGAACACATTCAGTGTGTTCTTTCCTTAGTGAACACAGTATAACACAGTGAGCCCTGCCTTGATGGTTCTTGGGATAGCAGAAACATACTGCTCCAGCATAAGGATTCTGTTTATATTATGGTGTTCGATTCTGATACACAGACACCCCAGGGGGTTTTAATATTAGGTGGTAGTAATGTGGTGGTTGAGGTCACATGGTACGTGACTTCCTGATGTTCTGAGTGATAACAGAGAAAATAGAACTTAGGGAACCTACAGGAAACCTTAGGAGCCCCGGTGGTGTAGCGAGCTACACGTCAGGCTGCTAACTGCAAGCTCAGCACTTAGAAACCACCACCTGTCCCAAGGGAGAGAGAGGAGGCTTCATGCCTGTAAAGATCTTCAGCCTCAGAAACCCAAGAGGGGCAGGCATATAGGGGTGCTAGTCTGGCAGACAGGGGTGCTATGAGTAGGAATCAAGTGAGCGGCAGTGGGTTTGGGTTTACAGGGACCCTTAGGTTCGATGGTCGCTAGGCTATCCCCTTAACCATCAGATGTCATGAGCAAGTCGGCAATGAAATGCTTACTGTGTGTGAGGTTCTGCTTATGTCCTTTCATAGACAGGCAGTTCCCACATGACAACATATTTGAATTATGAACCTCTTAATGTGATGTTATTTGGCATAGTGGTTACATGTTGGGCTGCAAACCACAAAGTCAACAGTTCAAAACCACCAGCTGGATCTATAGGAGAAAGGCTTTCTACTCCTGTAAAGAGCTACAGTCTTAGAAACCCACAGGGACCTTATCCTATAGGGTCACTATGAGTCAGGGTTGACTCAAAAGTAGTGTTTTTAGCATTAATAATATGTCTGAATAAATATGTTAAAATATATTTCTAAGTTTATTTGTAGCGTTTCCAACCCCCAAAGACAAAGATCAGATTTACACGGATAATAAAAAGCAACATAATGAAAACGATTTTAAAACTATGAAGGATTTGTCTTAGAACCAACTAATAACAGAGTCATCAGAGTGGAATCCCATCATTAATCGTAGACTATGTGTTTATGATTTCCTTGTTTCATTAACTCTAGTGCAAAATTCCTGGACTTGGAGTCGAAAAGTTTGCCTACACATGGAGACTCCACTACTTCACAGCTATATGACTTTGAGACAGACACTAAACTCTTTTGAGTTTTAATTTTCTCCTCTGTAAAACTAGAATGATAATATCCACCTGGCCAGTTTGAATGTCTGAAAGTGTCTGCATCGCGCACCTAGCACACTTCCTTTTATATAGATTAGTTGTCATTCAGTGGACTCCAACTCCTGCCAGCCCTGTGCTTGCCGGAGTAAAACTGTCCTCCAGATGGTTTCCAATGACAGATTTTTCAGAAGTAGGGTGCCAGGCTTTTCTTCCTAGGCTTTTCTGGAAGGACTTGACCTCCAACCTTTTGGTTAACTGCCAAACATGTTAGCTTAAATGGTAGCCTTCCTTATTACTATTACTACTATCCTGATTAATACTTTTCTCCTTGAAGTTATAAAAAAATATTATTTTCAGTCAGTGGTAACTAATAAGGTGAGGGAAATTATATATAATATATGTATAATATAATCATTATAATAATAAATTGTATATATACTTTCTATTCTGAAACTGCTTGGGAATTTTAAAGGTGATGAAATAGATCCATTCACGCTTTTGTAGAGAATATTACATATCCATAGGAGCCCTGGTGGTGTAGTGGTTACAAATTAGGCTGTCATCTGCATGGTTGGCAGTTTCAAACCACCAGCAGCTCTGTGGGAGACAGACTGGGCTTTCAAACTTCCAGTCTCATAAACCCACAAGGGCATCGCTATGATTCAACATCGACTCGATGGCAGCAAGTTTGCTTTGGTGTTATTAACATGCATAGCTTTTCATTACTCAATGGGCAGCACTTCTGTTATGCAGTGACAGACAGATGTCTTGACAAATACAGTGACTGTGTTTCTGGCTTCTCCTAGCCTGCCACAGCCAGGGTCTGGTGGAGTGCAGAAATGGCCAGTGCATCCCCAGCACGTTCCAGTGTGATGGAGAGGAAGACTGTAAGGATGGGAGTGATGAAGAGAACTGCAGTGACAGTAAGAATGTGCTACATTCACTGGGACATTGCTCTGTGGGCTGACATGTCTCTGGGACCAAAGCAAAACATGTGAAAGAACTTACTGTGCACATCGGGCTCACCCCTAAGTGATTCCACACTGCTGAATGCACTGGTCTCCATAGCACAGCTCTGCCAGACACATTTTTCTTGCCATAAATATAATTTGCCAGCAGCCTATACTGATAAACCATCCCTAATGGGAAAGAGTAGAGAATAAACACTTAAACAATAGGGTCAAATTCAGTGAACTATTTTATGGGGGAAGGTAACACCATGATAAAGAAAATAGCAGAGTGTATAATATTCAATTAAATCACATTGGATTCCAATTAGAAGGAATTGGCTGCTGAAATTAAATACCACCTCCTAAAATAACCATGTTTACAGAAGCTGCTTAATGCCTCACATTACCTAACAGTGTAATTCAATATGCATTCTAAGGAGTCTTATGTCTGTGTGTGAAACTGTAAGAGCAAAAAAGAAAATGCATCCAATAAGTTAGTTTGCACAATGTGACTATTTCTGTTAGGAGAAAAGGTTCCAGAGAGATTGTGTCAGGCTGGGTTTCATGGCGAAACAATAGCAGGACACTGGTATAAAGAAACAAGTTTCTAACAAGAAAGCAGCCCACACAGTGGCAGAGAAGGTGAACACAGTCCAGCTTAAATCTGTAGCCAGATGCTTCTCTGAAGACCCTTTCCAGATTCACGTAGGGATGTTCAACTAAAGACTTTTCCTGACTTGAGTGGCTGCCATGGCTGGGAAAGCAGGAAGCTAGGAAAACTGCAGACTGGCAGAGGCTTGTAGAACCAAGCAGGGAAACTGGTAGGCGGCCAACATCTAGGATAGAGAGGCCACATGGTGGCTGCTCGACTCAGAAGCCAAAGCAGCGTCCAAGCAAGCAAGGAGAAGAAGGGCAAGAGAGCGGCCAGTTCTCCATGAGGTCTCATGTAATAGGACCTTGCTGGCAAGGAGATATCATCATGCCTGCCCAACTGATAAATTGGACACCACCCATATGTTCTTACAAGTGCAGCCAAGTTGACACAAAACCCAAGTGTCCCATTGATTATTTTAATACATGGTTTAACTGGAAGATCTAAGTATAGCTAAACCAAAACATTCAAGCCCATTGTCCTTGAATCCATTCTGACACATGGTGACCATATCGGAGAGAATACAGCTACTCCTTAGAGCTTTCTAGCAGAGAGCCTCTCCTTTCTGTAGCAGAGCTGCTGATGGGTTTGACCCGCCAACCTTGTGGTTAGCAGCCATATGTTTAACCCACTCACAACCAGGTATCTTGGTATAATTTAGTGCTTAAGAATGTGGGAGTTGCAGTTCAGATGCCTGGGATCAAGACCCAGCTCTATGATCACTACTGGTTTACTTGAAGCATGTTATTTCACCTCTTAATGTCTCGGTTTCCTCGTCTGTCAACTCTAGACAGTGAGAGCTTCTTCCTGGGGTTCTTGAGAGAACTGAATTAGTTAAGTCAACCACAGAAGCTAAATTATCACTTGAGAAATGGTGAGAAATCAATACATGTTTAATTGTTTTTACATGACCTTTTTCTTGTTCAACCATTTTTTAACTGTGGATGCTGATGAGACTGGTCACCTGTAGCTAATTTAATTTAAAAATTTGAATATTGGCTATTAATATAGAATTCATTAAAATACACCCCAACTCGAAAGCTTTCTCATCATATATGTGTATAAATGCAAGTCATAAAGCATTATTAGTTCTGTCGATTTTCAAGTTGAGAAGGAAATCTTTTTCTAAATCAACATTAGCCCAACCCACTGCCATCAAGTTGATTCCGACACAGAGTTACCGGTAGGACAGAGCAGAACGGCTCCTTGGGGTTTCTGCAACTGTGAACCACAGTCTTCCACATTCATTTGGCCTGTTGTTGTTGGTAGGTGTCGTCAAATCGGCGGTTCCCACTCATAGTGACCCTATGTACAACAGAATGAAACACTGCGTTGACTGGCACCATCTCGACCATTATCCGTATGTGTGAGCCCAGTGTTGCAGCCACTGTCTCAGTCCATTTTGTTAAGGGTAGTCCTCTTTTCTCACTGCCCTTCTCCTTTACCAAGCATGATGTCCTTCTCTAGGGACTGGTCACTTATCATAATAGGTCCGAAGCACACGAGATGAAATGCCGCCATCCTTGCCCTTAAAGAGCATTCTGGCTGTGTTTGTAACCAGAAAGATTTGTTTGTTCTTTTGGCAGTCCATGGCCTTTCAATATTCTTTGCTAGCACCATAGTTCAAATACAGTGATTCTTTTTCAGTCTTCCTATTCAATGTCCAACTTTCACATGTGTGATAGGTAGGTTTATTGTGCCAAACTGGCCAGTGAACACATGTGGGATTAATTGAAGGGCAGAGAGATCAATGATTCTGAAAGCTTCGTCTTTCTTGTCTCTTGCTCTTTGATGAAAGGAACTGTGTGAGGCTGCCTTAGCTGGTTCTCTACCTCAACTTGCGAGCTACACTACCTGTGGGACACCCAACCCGTGGACTGTGTCCCTGTAGTTTGAGGTTCCTTTAAGACCTGCTTCCCTTGAGCTGAGGACTGGAGTATATATCACTTGAGCTGGGGACTGTCGGACCCTGTCATCTGGCTGACTTTTGGTTAACTGCCTTGCTGTTTGCTGCCTGTGGCTAGCTTGCTTGAATTGCTCTACAGAGGACTCAGCTGTCTGCTTCCTTGACTTGCACACGATGGCCCTCAAGACTTGAAGGACTGCCAGTGTATTAACTGTCTCACAGAAGTGAGTTGCACTGAACCATTTGTACCGCTCTATAGACTAATTAGCTGTTTATTTCTTATGTTGTATATATCTATCTATATAAATATATATACAAAATCATGTGTCCTGTTTTTGTTTCTCTAGAGAACCCTGTCTAAAATAACATGCATATGAGGTGATTGAAGGTTTTGGTTAGGTGTACCTTAGTCTTCAAAATAACAATTACCGCCCCCTTTTCAGGAAAAAAAATCAGCACTTACCTGGACATTTAAAACTTTTGTACCATAGTCCATAGTCCAGGATAAAAATGTAGCTTTCTGCTTGTCCAAGCATCCTGAATCGCTCTGATGAGCCCTGGTGGCATAGTGATTACATGTTGGCCTGATAACTGCAAGGTCAGCAGTTTGAAATCACCATCTGCTTTTCAAGAAAAGACTGGGTTTTCTACTCATGTAAAGAGTTACAGTCCCAGAAACCCACAGAGGCAGTTCTATCCTGTCCTACAGGGTCTCTATGAGTCAGAATCAGCTTGATGGCAATGAATTTGGTCTGGTTTTTGAATCCCTCTGGAGCCCTGCCCTGTCACTAGGAGGTGGTATTACCCACTTTGGGAAACTGCAGTGTGAACCTTTCTCCCACTGGATTTGAACTGCTGACCTCATAGTTAGTAACCGAACACTTAACCCATTGCTTCACCAGAGCTACTTAATAATTTTTAAAGGGATAAGTTGTTCTGTGAATTTTAGCCACATACCTTCTATTAGATCGAATTGTTTCTTGTTACATGATCCAACTTTCTTAAGAATCATTTTGGATTACTCAGTATGCTGTAGAAGGATTTTAAAATGATTTCCTATGTGTGTGAGATGTAACAAAGTCATATGATCAAAAAGTCAGAAGTAAAATTTCTAGCATCTTTATATTACTATTTACGCTTATGGATTCAACTTGTTGCTGCGGTTGTTTTGTTAGACTCGCTGTCAGTGAGTCGGTTCCAACACTCAGTGACTGTATACACAACATATGCAGAACAAAATACTGCCCAGTCCTGCACCACTGACCCAGTCATTCCTCTGTTTGAATCTATGGGGTCATCCTCTTTTATGCTGACCCTCAACTTTACAGGAGTACAATGTCTTTCTCCAGGGACTGGTCTCTCTTGGTAGCATGTCCAAAGTAGGTGAGAAGAATCTCTTCACACTTGCATCTAAAGAACATCCTGGCTGTACCTCTCCCAAAATTTAGCCATTCTTCTGGCAGTCTATGGTATGGTCAGTATTCTCTGCTAATACCGTAATTTAAATGCTCCCATTTTTCTTCAGTCTTCTTTATTCATGGTCCAGTTTTCACATGCAGAGAAGGCCATGGATTGGGTCAGGTGCACCATAGTCCTTCAGTGGGATCTTTGCTCTTAAAGACAAAACACATTAAGGATGCTTTGCAGCACATTAGCCCTGTAAAGAATGATGTCTGATTTCTTGACTACTGCTTCAATGCTCACTGAAACCCTTTTCCACGTATTGTGATGTTTCCTATTGTTGTGAGGATCATTTTTTAATGTTGAGGTATAATCCATATCGAAGTCTTTAAGTCCTCATCACTTTCAGCAAGCACGATTCTGTCATCTGCAAGTCAGATTCCTAATGAGACTTCCTCCAGTTCTAATGCCAGGTACTTCTTCCCCCAAGTCAAGCTACGTGGATATGTGCTAAGCACTCAGATTGAATAAGCATGGTGAAAAGATACAAGCCTGATTCACATGTTTCCTCATTTTAAACCACTTCATATCCCCTTGTTCTGTTCTAACAACTACTTTGGTCAAAATACTCTTGATACAGTGACTTGTATATTCTTTCCATCTTCTTTTGAAGTTTCCTCTGTTGTTTAATATTTTGCCCATAGAATCCTTAAATGTTGCAAATGAAAACTTGTCATTTTTCTACAGTTGTTTCAGCTTGAGAAATGTGAATCATGTTTTTTTCCCTTTTGGTTTTCTACTTCAGGCCTTTGCACATTTCATTAGAAAAGTTTCTTAGACCACCCTTTGAAATTTGCTCAGCTCTTTGCACCATTTATTCCGTTTGCTTTCGATACTAGCTCCCCTGTGTTCAAGAGCAAGTTTCAGAATCCCCTTTGACATTATTTTTTATCCTTTCTTTCCTCTCTGTTTAATGACCCTTCACTTTCTGCGTGTATTGTGCCCTCCTGTCAGCCCCCTCAATTGAGTCTTTGGTCATGAACGTTCACAGCATCCAAACTTGTCTCGAGATGGTCTCTAGATTCAGGTGGGTTATACTCAGGTCATACTTGGGCTTTTGTGGGCTTGTTTCCATTTTCTTCACCTTCAATCTGAATTTGCATAATAACAAACGATCATCTGTTCTACAGTCTGACCCTGGCCATAGTCTGCCTGACGATATTCAGCTTCTCCATCCTTTCTGTGCACGTGTGATCCATTTGATTCATGTGTTTTACAAAGTTCATGCATGATCTCAGCACCTGGCTGTCAGTTTTTCATACTATAGTGGCATACCTCTTGTCAAAGCTGGTGTTCTGTTAGAAAAAGCCGGTGAAGGTTGCGAGTTCCACCCTCCCAGGGCTTTAGAACAGCCATGGTGGGGTGGATTCCACTCATGCAGACTCCCTGTGTGTCAGAGAACTACTGTGCTCAATCGCGTTTTCAATGGCTGATTTTTCAAAGCTAAACTTCCAGGGGTTTTTCACAAGAAGCTTCTGGGTAGATTTGAAGGGCACCTACAGTCAGTCTTTTGGTTAGCAGCTGGGCATTAACTGTTTACACCACCTGTGGACTCCCCGAAGCTTTGGGTCCCCTTACAGATCTAAGCCTTTACAGCTCTTCGGATGCTCTCTCTGCTTACTGGCTCTGTCTTCTTCACACCCTCCTTCTTCTAGAATTTTCTTCACGGGGATATGATGGCCTTTTATCTTTTAATGTTCAGTGACCACCCCTGTACCTGTCCAACGGAACACAGAACAAAGCACAAAGCAGTTGCCCTGGGGTGCGTGCTGCCTCACACTGTGCACCAGGCGAAACCGTGCTCCATCGAGTTTTGCTGGTAGAGTTTTTGGAAGGTGATCACCAGAACATTCTTTGGGATGCTGTCATAGAAACCAAATCCATTGCCCACTGCTGAGTCCATTCGGATTCACAGTAACTCTCTGGACAGAGTGGAACTGCTCCGCGGGGTTTCCAAGGCTGCAGTCATTATGGATGCAGACTGCCACCTCCCTCTCCAGTACGGTCACTGGGGATCTCCAGCTCCCGCACTTTCAGTTGGCAGCCGTGCACTTTAACCACTGTGTCACCGGAACGCCTTGCTGTCAGTTAGTGGACACTTATGATCTCTTAAAATATTAAATGACCATCGCATTAATAAAATTTCCTTAAGATGCTAGCTCATAGAAATTAGCCTGCTTTGCCTTGAGAAGTTGTTGGATGATATAAATAGTTAATGCACTTGGCTGCTAACCCAAAAAAATCTCTAGAGGTGAGTTGGAAGGAAACTCTGGCAATCTACTTCTGAAAAGCCAGTCATTTCTATTGTGCCACACAAGGGGTCACTATGCACCAGGGTCATCTCCACAGCAACAGATTCCTTGTTACCTTGAGAAAACACTTGAGCCTGCTGTCAAGAAGAAGAAGAAGAAGAAGAAGAAAGAAGTAGAAAGAAGATATCTCACTTTCTTTTTTTCTGTGCACTATTTTAAGGCTCTGATATATATATATATATATAGTGTTGCTCTTTAGTGCCATTGGAAAGGAAGTCATCTCCAGTAAACATTGCATTAGAATATATAGAAACATTGCCTTGTTGTTACACACATATTATTTATACTTAAAAAATGACTAGTAAAGGGTGCAGTATGGCACCAACAAACACACAACATTTCTCTAGTTCTTTAATGCTTCCTCCCCCCATCCACCCCTACCACTATCATGACCCCAGTTCTATCTTACAAATCTGGCTAGACCAGAGCATCTACACTGGTTCAGATAAGAGCTCTCGACACACAGAAGCCAGGACAGATAACCCCTCAGGACTAATAATGAGAGTAGCGATACCATGAAGGTAGGAGGAAGGTGGGGAGAAGGGAGAGAAAGGGGGAACCGGTCACAAACAGAAACATGGATGAAGGGAGACAGTGTAAGTTGTAAAATATGACGATAAGAATAATTTATAAATTAGCAAAGGTTCATGAACATGGGGGAGGGAGGAGAAAGAGGAGCTGCTACCAAGAGCTCAAGTAGAAAGAAAACGTCTTGAAAATAATGAAGACGGCAACATAAGTACAATTGTGCTTGATACTATTGATGTATGGATTGTTATAGGAGCTGTAAGAGCCCCCAGTAAAATGATTTATTAACATTTAAAAAAATATTAATTTATTAAAATAAAACAAACAAAAATGACTGGCAAGATTTTCTAGCTTCCAACAGACACATTGGAAAGCTAATGGAGTACAACTAGGAGAGTGGGAGAGAGGGTGGGCAGTCATTTGTTACCTGACCTCTTTAATCGACGAACGACTAAGAAGTCAGTGGGGAAGGTCCTTTCCTCTCCAGGTTCCTTAAGGGAGAGCCGGTAGGTCAGAGGCTGAAGCCAACTGCCCGCCTTCATTTGGAAACACAGTTCTCAGGTCATCGTAACTAGGAGGACGGCACTTTCGGAGGACGTCTAGAAAATATTGATAATAGCTGCCTGCACTATGATAAATGGCTCCTTTTGGACTCGTGTTGATACTTATCTTTTTTAATTAGAGAAAGCATTTCACTTAGAAGACAAGAACGGGAAGTAAATGAATCTTTAAGGCAATGTCATTCGATACTTCAGAATTTCCAGATCCTTAGATTTCGCTGTTCCTCAAATCACTAGAACTTCGTTTTTGCCATCAAGTCCACACAAAACATGAGCCCCCCACCCCCATGCAAAGTAACAACCCAACGCAGTTTGTCGACCATGTATTATGGCTGCCATCAGGCAGCTCCTCCTCACAATTAACTCCCATTTTGTGCCCATCAAAAGCCCCAGCAACCATTTCTTTCTTCGTTCCTACAGAATCCTTTCAGAAAGACTATTGTATTTAGTTGCCAGGTTAAAAAAAAAAAAGGCGACATTGCGATCCAATGTTGTGGGAGAAATTGGAAGGACACTAAAGCTGGGTCGTGCCTCGGCTCTCGCAGGCACTCTTGATGCTTAGATCCCAGTGAAGGGAATGTACAGACGATGAAAATGAATGTGAATCTCCCCCCTGGTAGGTCTGACCCCATGTCAAGAAGAGGACCAAGGTTGCTTCTACAACTCCTGCCTCGATCCCTGCGGGGGACCCTCGCCCTGTGCCCCCAGCACCGGTCCGAATAACTGTAGTAAGTACAGCAGCTGATCACGGCCATCCCTGGCCCTGCACCGGCCTCCCCCTCCCCACATTCTGTCCTGTGCACTTTCCAACGCCGAGGTCTGGCATCCCTCCAGAAAAGTATACCTCTATTTCCCATTTCTTTTCCACCGGTGGTATGTGGTAGCAGAAAAGAAACAAAATGGTCTTCATTAACTTAAATCAGAAACAAATGTGTCATTGCGCACAGGCTATCAATCCACGTTGCTTAATATCATTACCATTACTTTCAACTCAACGTCAGCGCCTCGGTAGGATTTTCTTGGCTCCATCCCCAAGCAGATGCTGTGTCTTTCTCTCCTCTTGGCGCACCGCTTCAAAAGTGGAGAGCGTCCAAGAAGCGAGTACGAAGTCCACCTGAGTAGTCATAGGCACGTAGAACGTTGGCGGCCTGTCCATTTAATAAGATCGATCTCCTCCACCTTTCCAGGAACGTTGCAGACCGCTGAGGAACCTGGAGAGCACGTTCACGTGTTTCCGTGACGGTGTAATAGCTCCACATGGTGCAAGCAGTTAGTCGGCTCGCTGGAAATCCGTTTTCAGGAGGAGGATCTCTTGGGAGAAGGGAGAAAGGAGAGTGGTGGAGCTCTCACTAGGCTCTCCTGGGCATTATTTTAGGAACCAGAAACCCACCAAGATGGTGATTTGCAGTAGTGCTTTCTTACTCGACGGCCCAGCATTCATCTTCTACTCATTACTCCTCCTCCCTGTATGTGCATCTCCACCTCTCCTCACCTTTAGCTTGTGACGAGACATTCAGAGCAGTCAGGGTTTGATGGGCAACCGGTTACTCCATTGTAATACACACCCTCTGATCTTAACAAAACTGCAAACTCACTGCTGTCGGGCGGATGCCGACTCGCTGTGATGCATTAGGATGGGCTAGAACCACCGCTGTGAGTTTCTTGGCTTCAATGATGGACGGGAGTAGAAAGTCCTATCTTTCTCTTGCCCAGCAGCTGGTGATTTTGAACTGCCTGTCCTTTGTCTCACAGTCCAATGCGTACGGCATTGAATCTGTTGCTTTGAGACGGATCCCAGTTTTACTTGGTGACCTGGGTCCAAGAGCTGAAGGGAGCCCCTCTGTAACTATTCGGGAGTTCTCAAAGGAGGAGGGATGGGGGCGTGGGGGGTGGCGGTTTGTGGGAGACAATCTGTGAAGAACCCAGAGAGCGAGACCTTTCTGTGTGTTTTCAGGAGGACTGCATAATGATTTGATGGAATGCACAATATCAGTGCCTTCTCACTTCCCCATGTGAGAGAACAGTTCGACAATGTAAGCTTGCCATGAAAAGATATACCACCTTTTTTACCGGTAAACAGATTACATATATAATTAAATGTCTATATGGTAAAAATCTGTGAATGCTGGAGCCTGTCTTTGGTGGAAAGCTGTCAGAAAAAAA